GCCCTCGCCTCCCAAGAAAAGGTCCTGGTGAGATCACTATGAGTTTGTGCTATTCAAGTCTAAGATTAGGTTGTTATCAAATGCTTATGGACAATATCTGTATGGAAGGTTAAAAATATATTAGCTGCGTTGGAAAACTTAACGGTTTAGTAGGCAGATAATGAAACACTTCCGTTACTTGTCGATGCGCAAACAACTTCTCAGCACAGAACCAACTGTGACTTACACCTTCCACTCAAACCCGATATCAAAGTAACCCTTCTCAGGCACCTTCAGCATCGAACAGTCGACAACCTTTCCAGCCGCCAGAAAACCCCGCTGATCAACACCTTCCGTCTGAACCCTGTTCCCCCACCAATCCAACTTCACCCCCGTATGCTGCACCGCAAAGTACATCACCGCGCCAGAAATACCAATAGCCGCGCTCATAGAACTCGTCAGCACGTACGCGTACTTCTCCCACCACGCCGCGTACCGCCTCTTGATCACCTTGTTGAACACGAACGCTAGAACCACCGAGCCCTGCACGTAGCTCCAGTTGTAAGGAGCCCACGCCATCGGTCCTGAGAATAGGACTGGCGCGTTGACGTTGCGCCAGAAGGCGTTGGGCCACCGCTTAGAGAGGAGGTATACGGCTATGGGAAATACGACACCGATGGGGATTGTGTATGTGATGGCCCGGTAGGGGCCTTGCGTACCGAACAATCGACGTGGTCCGACGACGCCCCATATCACCGAGGACATAAAGAAAGTGTGCGTACGGGGACACGTGAAGCGGTCTTTCTGATGCGCTTGACACACGTCCTCAACGTTGCGAAGTAACCAGTGATTCACGCCCAACGCAACGAAACCTGCCAGAAGCGTCGCATAAACCTGTGCTGCAAATGCCCACCTCGGTGGAATCTTGGCATAGTGCGCAAGCTTGAGATCACCAGCAAAGTTGAGCGACTGATGTGTCGACATGAAACTGAACATCTTGAATATCATGTTCGGAATTGGCTGGCCCTCGAACACATAGCCAGCAATAAGCTGGGAAAGGATACGTGTTGAAACCTCTAAGTTCGTAACGGCCAAGAGCATCCCAATCGGAATTTGCAACACGACGGTGAAGAGGACAGCTAGAACGATGCCCCATATTGGCATGCCTGTTGGCCACAGGCTCACCGAGACACAGGCGATGATGAAAGACGCAACAAGAATGACAATGTACCACCAGTGAGGACACTCCGGATACGCAGACATAAGACGGTTGTGCACATCGTTAAACTCCTCGTCTCGCGACTTCCGTGCCCAACAAGCTCGTATTCCAGACATGATATCCTCACGGTGCCAGAGGTACATGTGCACGGGTGTAGCAACATATATCATAAAGGCAGCCGCATACTTGATCACCTGAGTGGAAGTCATGAGGGGGACACTGTACTCGTGGTACGCGGTCTGATTAAGCGTAAGGTCGGGCAGCAATACGCGCGAGATGTTGTACCGCGAGCCGTGGTTGTCGTAGATGTAGTTGTTGTTGATAGGGAGGTAGCCCGTGTCCCAGACATTGTTGAAGTACACCAGCGGCGCGACTATGAAGCCCCATATTGCCATGCCGCTTGCAAAGTTCATGAGTGTGAAGAAGGGTGTTACTATAGGGTCGCCGAGATAGGTGGCGACGTTCCAGTCTAATGTTGGTAAGGGGTTGAGGCCCAAACCGCAGGTTGATCCAGCTATGAGGGCGAGTGTGACGTTGCCTGGTGATATCCATGTCGGCCAGTTGAACAAGTAAAGAGCTTTGAACAAGTAATTGGGAATCCAGAAGTAGAAGAACATGGAAGTAAAGCAGATCAAGAAGAACTTGTATCGCGACAATTTCCACCCATGCACTGTATCTTCTGAATGTGCATTATCCTTGTTCAACGCCTTAGCAAGTGCAATATTCGCCAAAGCCTTTGGCCAGATCATTGACGGCGGGTATACCAGAAACCTTCGAACAAGACCTGCACATCCATATCCCATGAACTGGGTCGATATGAGCGTGAGGATTTGCCAAGGGATACTATTCGAGAGGTTCTTCTCTCCGTAAAAGACATCGAGTTCCAGGACTTGAATGATGCTCACGATGTAGGCTCCAATTGCAGAGCCGCCAAATGTCACATTTGCCATCATTGCGATGAGAATCTGCTCCTTTTGGTTGAACGGTCCTGGATTGAGTGTGAACTCCCACGAAAACACCCGGAATTTCCTCGTCGGCAGCCATTTCGCCAACAGCTTCCCCACGGGCAACGCTAATATCTGTACAATAAATGTCGAAAGTCCAATAGGAGGCATTCGAAGTGAAAAGAACTGCTCGACTCCAGTGCCAACGATTGCAAAAATTGTTCCCAAAAGGAATACCCTGAATGTGCCGACTGGCAAGGTCGGGTCGTCCGTGTCATCCACAACAGCTCGGACTTCAGGATAGATGGAGCCATTTAGCATCAATTCCTTTTGAGCCTCAAATTCTCTAGAGATGCTCTGGCCCAGCTCAGCATCTTGTTGCTCGTCATTTTCGTTCTCGAGATATTCGCGCGCCCGGTTGAGAAGGTCGTCGGGGAAATTCTGGTCATGCTCGTGCTCTTCCACAAGCCTTCTTAGGATGTCTTTGAGGGGTTCTCTTGGGTCTTGTTGCTCATTTTTCTCTCGGCTGCTACTGCCGTTTTGCTTTGGTTTGTCATTGATTCGAGATATGATGTCCACAAGAGTAATATCGCCATCTGTAGTGGTTGTCCTTAGTTGTTGTGGGGAAGCCATTACATGTATTGTGAAGACAATCACGTCTCTGCAAGCCAGTCAAGGAAGAAGGATCTTTTACTCCAGATCTTGTCGAATCAACTACACACAGCTGATGGGCAATTAGGTTCCCGATAACCTCCTGATGATGGGAATGACATGGAACGTTGTATCAGAGTCTCTCATCGCTTCAGACGAATTGGCTCATTAGATGCTTCGAAACCATCAGCTGGTAGGAGCATTAGCCTCAGGAACGGTCTGAAAGCAAACTCAATGCAGTCGGTGTCTATAGCTTTAGTAACTCTGTGAAGCAAGAACCATAAGCATCGGCCTAAAGCGACAAATCACATGAACCACCTCGAGATAACCTTAGCGGGGCTTGCTGAGTAGCTATTACTGTAGTCAAAGGTTCGAAGTATTCTGGGAAAAGAATGACGGAGGAAATTTGGATGCGGCGTTTATGTTGAACGCAGTTGGTATTTCGGGTTCGATAGTAAACGCTAAAAAAACTTTGAGCCTCAAAGTCAATGAGCCAACAAGCGGTCATCAAGATGTTCTGTATGCCATTCGCCTTCTATAACCGATTCCGCGTGGAGATATGGGCCGTTCATCCAAGCTGCTGGGAGAACTTAAACCTCATATGCGCCGCAGCCCTCCGCAGCTTCTACAACAGAGGTCGTAGTCCCTCTTCGCTGGTCTCACCAATTGCTCAGAAAGTTCGATGACGGATTCAATCGCTATTATTCGGCGACTGTCGAGAGCAATGTGACCAGATCCATCTCTCACAAGCTTCGGCGCTGGCAGTCATAAAATAATAGTGGTAGAGCCCCCGTTTTCGGCTGAAGGTAAAATGCACCTGGTACCAATGCTCGTGTCGACGCCGTCAGGTATTTCGGTATGATCTGGCTTGACAGTCGTCCATACAGTTTCTGCACAAGATCGAAGAGACATCGAAGCCCCCGCGCAAACGCTCTCGCGAATTCCTTGAAATCGCATAGGAAGGTCCAGAAGAATCAGCCGTAGAATCGGTGGTCCAGAGGTTCAGGTCATGACGGCATAGGTAAGTCGTTGCCAGGCCAATCGACATCATAATCAACCCCGGTGGTGATTCGGTCCCATGTTGTCGTCGAAAATCCTCTCGCAGTCGTAGAAAATAAGTTGGCATGTCTATCGTGTCAATGTTCCAAACACCAAGCGCCGTTGAATGCATGAATGTCGCGTTCCTCGTCTGCCATCAAAACTTCAAATCGTAATACAATAACACATCATTCAGAGAATCCCCATCTGTCGCCAGGGATCATTTTCTCTCCCTCTCCGTCGCTGCCTTCTCCACGCAGCACGTCTGGCCTCGCCAGTACAATCCACACAACCCCAGATAGCAAAGATTAATCTCCAGCCACTACATCACGCTTATCAGTAACGTGACCCTTCCAAAAGAGGGGGAAACTTACACCACAGCGATCAAAGCCCACAGGGCAGCCATGAGCCACTGCTCTTGACGCTTCTGCTCGGCGGTTTTGTCGTCGGTGATGTTAATGTTTGACACCCACATCATGATGATTCCGCCAACACAAAGAGCTAGAGAGAACAAGTCGTGCAGGACTCTTCTCGATGTAGCTAATCTGGGAACTGTAAATGAAGCATCCGTCACTGCTAGCACCTCCCAGCTATCGTTGAGCATTGCGATTGCACACTAGAGCACGTCAGTTTTGCGTAACCAAAGACGTTGAGGAGAGGGGCTACTCACACCGACAGCACCTGCGATAATGACCTGACTCTTCGACGGCCATTCTTTGCAAACAAATGCGAGCAGTAGAATCGAAGCGAGGCTGGTAATCCAAGCAATCAATCTCACACCCGCGTGCACCATCGCATACGGCCTCGACAGCCTCTCCGGGCGATTACGCCGCCGCGGCCGTGAAGGCATGGCGCGCTGAAGAAAATAAAAACAGTCTCAGCGATGAAGCATTTAAAAAAGAAAAAGAGAGACAAAGAAACACAGCGTTGTTGATGCTGGAGAGGAAGTAAAGTGATGAAGAGAAAGTGGAGGAATGGAGATTCGGGGGTTCAAGGGTCAGGAGGGACCAATTGGAGGGGCTGGGGCTAGCCTAGTTGAGAGTAGCAGTGCTAGTGGAAGGGAGCTATCGACGTGCCGGGGGCTTTAGAGGGTGGATTTGGATATCTCAGTTTTGCATTCCACGATGGTCTAGAATTGGAGTGAGTATCACGATATCGAGAGTGAAAGGAGGAGGAGAATGTTGTTTCATCATACGTCAATGCATTGTCAAGTCACAGGCAGTGCAGTGCAGTGCAGTATTTGTTAACCGACAGTGGAGGCCATTGTTTGATCCCCCTGGCCTGGCCGAGACCTTGTTGCCGTAGCATACCACCACCACATTCTAACCGCCCACCGACTAATCCCTGTCCTGTTCAACCACTTCACTTCACTGCACTCAGCCTTGTTAACATCAATCATAACATCATTATCTATCGACCTTAAATTAAAATGAATACTCCTCAACATGCAGATATATCCCCTGCGCTCCCGTTCCCTTATGCACAGCTCGCTCATCGCTCAAACGACTCACGCAATTCCTCGTCCGTGCCACTATCTCTCGCCCACCGCAAACAACAACCCCTGTTTCTCCCCAAGCCTGCTCCACCGGCTCGCGAATCATGGTCTCGATGTCTGGTCTGCACGTGTATTCGCGGATGAGCTCTGGAACAGTGGCGGTTATCTTGCCGCGGCAGGGAGAGTCGCTTGGGCAGCCTTTCTCGTCTGGACCGTTTGCGCTGCAGCAGCAACCTGTTGTCGGTCCCTTGACGGGTTGGATGTCGTCTGAGTCGCTAGTGTTTGAGGACTCTGAACGACTGAAGACCGGGCCTGTTTGATTGGAGCTTGTTATGGCGATATGGATGCTTACACCGACGCCTTTGGCTCGTACCATTCTGCCAGCCTCTTCGGCCCTTTCGACGTAATATTGGATTTCTTGAGATGTTCTCGCAACGAGGATAATTTCGACTCTTCGTGTGCAATTCGATTTTTGCGCTGCCGCAATGCTTTCGAGGATGGGAATAACGAAACTGGCTCCAGTTGACGCTCCAATTAGTACCAGCGTTTCGTAAATATTCCATTTCGGGGGAACGCCATATGGCCCTGATACGAAGCATGTAAGTTCGGATCCCGAATTCTTTGTCGCATATTCGTGTAGTCGTTTGGAGAATCCGTTATGGGCGCGCACGACCAGCTGGATGCTGTTGCAGCAACATGCGCCTTCGAGCTTATGCGCACATGCGATTGTGTATGGGTGCGCTTCGAAGGGTCCAAGACGTGGAACCCAGAGGTAAATATGCTGTCCTGCCTTCCACTTGAAGTGCACATCCTTGATGGTAACGACAGTGGTGGCTTGTCCAACAACGCGGGTAACGGCTCGATGCCCAAGGTGCTTCATACCCTGACACTCAGTTCCTTGTGGTCGAAGACGGACATTTTGCCATAGTAAAAGTGCCCATCTCATGGCTCGGTCAAAAACGAGGAACGAAACGCTCATCCACAGCAGCCACCGGGCATTTGAGGGAATATGCTTGTGGAGCAACCACAGCATAATGATACTGGTGAGCACATGCTGAGCCACCCAAACCTCATACGAAAGTCTCCGAATGGGAACAATTCCTGTAATAACGTTCCAAAGCAGGATTGCCCAAGCTGCAAGCCCATACTTGACCAGCGGCATAATCTGAAGGGCATAGTCAAGGAACTCGGCGCGCACCCACATAGTCCAGAAGTGAAAGCCATGAACCGTCGCAGTGACAAACATGGTCCGCGCAACCCATCGATGCAGCCAGTTGAGCCTCTCATGACTGCTCCCTATCAGGAATCCGATAACGTTGACCTTTGTCGCCAAAAGGTAGAGCAGCGGGAACTGGGTCAAAGTGACCCATGCGTTGCGATATCCGATGCGCTCCCAGTAGTACACGTCGTTCTGTGAAACCTTCCAGCTCATCAAGTAGACAATAACGACCCAATAACATGCTAGAACGATAATTCGACCGAGTGGAAGTGGTGTCGCCCATCTAAGGCCCTTGATGGGGATGTAATATTGTGGATGGCCCATTTCGCGAACGACGGCGGTTGATGTCGCCCATGCTTGACTGAATGCTCCTCGTGGACGTGTTGGATGGTCTATTGATGGATCGCGACATGCTTTTAGTCTGGCTAAGTGTCAGTGTGTTCGACAAGAAGTCATCAATATGGCATACCTTTGCTGAGCGTCGAGGTAGTTGATGCCACGAATAGCAGCGAGTGCGCCGACGACACCAGCAATGGTATACCAGTATCCACGGGCAAAGGCATAATTGACTTCCATCCGCAAGCCGGGATCATGATGCATGTGGTCCATATCCATGATGAGCTATGATGCGCCGATGGCGCGGGTTCGATGTGACTTGAGTTGAAGGGACGATTCAGACGGCCAGCGTCGTGATAGAGCCAATGTGTCTCTGGCTCATAAACAATCCTGCTATGATGGTATTGTCTTTCGCTTCAGTTGCTCATGTTACCTGCAAACAAGTCAAGTTTTGTCCGAATGCAAGTGTCCAGTTTCCCTCCGATTGTGTGACTTGTTGACACTCAGGTGAGAATGAATGAGCAAGTTGGTATGATGAAACCGCTTCTTGGCTTACGGTGACTGTATCGAACAAGATGTGAAGGTCACAGGTTGCCGGGTATGAAGAGCCCGAGTGCTGATGTTGGATAAGGTAGTGAAGAAGAGTTAACCCCGCGGAGTGCGATTGCCAGACGAGATGCCCATCAGATCGCTTGTATCTGCAACTAACCTCTTTAGATTGAGCAATCAAGCGATGCGAGCTTGATACTTTGAGGCTACACCCGGCAGTAGAAACGTCGAACAACCGTCAAATTGCGCATAAAATTACTAAAACTCAAACTCCCAACTACCATCTCTTTCGAATGTCCCCCAAAAATGTATCCGTTCTATCCGTGCATGCCGAATATCCGATACTTATCACCATCATTAAACCTTCTCATTGTGATTCAACGTCCATGGTCTGACAAAAACTCGCTCACTAACAAGAGAGAAAAACTTGCTCAAACAACCTCAGGTCCGTGCACGCTCATGTTCTGATTGGCTCCTCCGCACGTCAAGGACCCCTGTTTTTCCCTGCGAGGTCTAGACTTTTGGGGTAGGTAGAACGAAACGTGCTCTTAATTACTCTCCACCACTAACACGGCATTTGGCGATGGAGGCTTGCACTGCTAGACTCTGCTTTAGAATTCTCTGCGACGTTGAAGAATGAGCGTTTTTTTGAGGCTTTGGGTGTTTTAGATGGGCGTTTGATGTGGAATTGGCGTGAATTGCTTCAGACTAGTGAGATGGCTTGCATTGATGGGAAGGGTTCATCATGGGAGCACAGAGCCTCAATGACGTAGCTTTCATGATGGGGAGTTTGCAGATGCTGTGTGCTCATGCTGTGGAATTGGAAATATGTGTAACTTGAGTTGATATGATATCTGACCACATGAGTCGAAAATGTTATTACATCAAAGTATTTGAGTTGGATGATCCCAATGGAAGGTCATTTCTCACAACGGCCTGATATTTAACACCATAACATACCTTCTTAGCGAAACACAGCTCACACTAGTTCAGCCTCTCCCTCATCCCCTTGCCGATATCCGCAACTCCTACAAAAGCAGCTCAGCCGCCCACCACTCCAGCCCAGCCCAGCTCTCTCAAACCACACACACAATACTCTCCCCCATAACACATCAAAATGCGCTCCTCTACACTCCTCTCAACCGCTCTACTCTGCGGCATCTCCCTCGCCCACTTCGAAGTCAAGTATCCCGACTCCATCGGTTTCAAAGACGACGACGAGGACAAGTCTCCCTGCGGCGGCTTCACACCTGACCTCTCCAAGGACAAGCTCGTTGACTTTCACGTCGGCGGCGAGGCTATTGCTCTGCGATCAACTCACCAGCAGGGCAATTGGCTTTTCCGCGTGACCCTCAATGAGAAGGCTGATGGAGATTGGGAGCAAGTCTTTCCTATTGTTCAGCAAAGCGGTCTTGGTGATTTCTGCCAGCCGCAGGTCACTGTCCCCGAGAAATACGCTGGCAAGAAGGGCTGGGTCAACGTTGTGTCCTCCGCCGTCGACGGTCTTCTCTACCAGGTACGTCCCTGCTCCAAACTTCATAAGTCAATGCTAATAAAAGGATAAGTGTATCGCTGCCAACTTCGTCAAGGGCAAAGCCGATCCTCCCAGCGACTGCAAGAACGCAACCTCGGTGAAGGCCTCATTCGTCGACGACGACAAACTCTCCGCGCTTGTCGGCAACGACTCAAAAGCCGATTCTTCATCAAGCGGCACCGCTTCGGGCACTGCTACAGGTACCGGCTCAGCTGCATCCTCGACAACGAGCGACAACGCTGTCGCGGCGCTGCAGGCTTGGTCAGCAAACGGCGTGGGCATGATAAGTCTAATGACCATGGCGTTTGCCGGAGGAGCTCTACTTATTTAAATAAGAAAGAAAGAAAAAAAACTGTTACGACATTGGTTGAGAGCGTTGTATTTTTAATCACAAACAGAACAGACGAAACAATTCATTTCACTGTGCCTCTGAGTTGCAGATCACCACATCGTTGAGTTGAGTTGAATCCTACGTTAACATCCAACCCCCATGCCGATGATCAGCGAATATCTGTACCAAGCCGTATCCGGAGAAATACTCCACGCTCAACAACGACATATTTCTCCACTAGCATCTCATTGGACGTCCAAGGGTCTCTGGTCTGATGTCGACCGCAACAGGGACAGAAAATCCATATTCACCGCCAGCGTCTCTTCTCTCACTCACCTTGCCTCTGCCATTGATACACCAATGCCGTTATAACATCTGATTCATATGAATTGTTTCATCTCTGTACAGTGAGCCAAATGACTTATAATTCGTCATTATATGTGTTGTGCTCTCTTTTCCCATCAGTAACGCCCTGCGAATAAACTTTTCCTATGTGTGAATCGCCCAGCTCCCGGACATAACATAACATAACAAACGCCATTTGTATGTTTTTCACGTCTCTGTTCTATACAGCCAGCTTTTGCTTTATTATGTCTCGAATCTCCCAAGCCATTGTATACCTACCAAGCCATTCTAGCACCCATTGACATCTTGCCTCCATTTGTTACGCTTTCTATTTACTACGTTCTATTTTACGTCCTATTTTGACTCTCGCCGTTTATCTCAAAGGCTTGATGAGCTAAAACTTTATCCAGTTGACCTACCTTGGAACTCTGGCTGTTTGCCAGTATGGCAGCTGTAGACCTCTACCACGCCAGCTTCTCGAAGCAGCTCTTCAACTACATACCCACAGACCAGCCACTGTACCAAACATGGGGTACATCATGGCCGAAACGAGAAGTGGGCGTTATGCTCAGTCTTGATATAGCTTCGTGTTCGATACTTTTGCTTTACCTTTGTCGAACGCCGTTGTCACGGTTTACTCCCCGCTGGTTACAACCGTTTGCGCAAGAGCCGCCACCGTTTCATCCCAAGGAGAGGAAATGGACTTTTTGGACTTTGTGTCTTCTGCTCATTGCCCTGCTTGGGCTGGGGCTGGCTATTAGTTCTTCTATTGTTCATTCTCGTCACAAAGCTTCGTTTATGGAGCTCGTGCCTTGGACTGTTGTGGCGTTGGTTACGGTTCTGGGTAGACCTGTCCAAGCTCCCAAGCTGTTGATGTTACAGTATTTTCTCATGATGGCAACTACTCTAACCCTTAGAGCGATCTATTATCTCAGCTTCAAGGTCAACTCAATCAATCCCTTCGAAATTGGACACCTCACCCTTGAGATCTTGGCAATTCTGGTCATTATGAACATGCCCCTTCGAAACCCATTCTGGGGTTCGTCAAATATCGGAAACGCCAAAGCCGCTCCATCAAACCACGTCCGAAGCCCTGAAGATAACCTCACCCTCTTCCAATTCTGGACCATGAGATGGGTAAACCCCCTATCAAAAATCGCCCAAAAACGAGAAATCGCCATTGAGGACGTCTGGCAGCTACCCTATGAGTTTCAGCACTGGAGACTGCACCAGGTATTCAGAACGCTCAAGGGCAAGCTTCTTCCATGTCTCATCGAAGCAAACGGCCTAGATCTTCTCATCGGCACATTCGCAGCCATTCTTGAACGAGTCGCTGAAGTTTCTAATCTTCGTCTTACAAGCAAGCTTTATCAATCCCTCGACAAGAACGACCCTGCAGAAGCTGGGCTCTGGTGTGTCGTTATTCTCAGCATCGACACCATGCGTCAAATCGCAAGAACGTCGTCAGGATGGTACTCCCGCAAGGCTTACGAACGAAGTCGCGGCGAGACATTCATCGGTCTATTCAGCAAACTCCTCACAAGAGCCGTCCCAGGGTCCGAAATGACAGAGAAAGACCCCTCATCTGGCGTTGAAGGAAATGACACTTCTTCAAGTCGCTTTGGCAGATTCTTCAACAAATGCTGCAGCCGCAACAAGTCCAGGCCAGCAGAAAAACCAACACAAGACCATCAAGCTTCAAACGCAAAGGTAGTCAACCTAATTCGCGGAGATACTTATGAGATATCCCAACGATTCTGGGAGTTTCCCCGCGTTGTAGCAACGCCCATAAAAGTCATCGTCACAATATACTACTTGATCGACATAATGGGCTGGCCATCGTGCGTCGGCTTCGGATTCATGGTCGTCTTCCTCATCTGCAATTCCCTCCTCGTTCGCCAAGTCATCAAACTTGAGCGTCAAAGAACGGGGCATTCTGATCGGAGGGCTCAGGCTGTTGCGCATTTTGTAGAGGCTAGTCGCCCGCTTAAGCTCAATGGCTGGACATCCTCGTGGAGAGATCGCATTTTGAGGTTTCGAGATGTCGAGATGAGGAAGAGGTTTCATATTTCTATCGTCAATGCTACTATCTCCACGATCAATGTTTTTGGCGGTGCGGTTTATCCGTTTGCGAGTATTTGCTTATACACACTCATCCTTGGACGCGGTCTACCCAACGACGTTATTTGGCCTTCACTACAACTCTTTGCACAGCTCGAGGCGAGTACCCGCGAAGCTTTCGATCTTATCTCTGCAGTATGGAAGTGCACTATCCCCGTTGAGCGTGTCAACAAATACATGTCCGAACCCGACCGAGACGAAGACGCCTTTAGCGGTTGTGAAGCGCGCGATATCGAGTTCAACAAAGCAAGTTTCGCACGCCCCTCAACAGACCATCTTGTTCTTCGCGACCTAACCCTCAAATTCTCAACGGGTCTGACCGTTGTGCGCGGTAAAGTTGGTTCAGGCAAATCTAGTTTATTGCTTGCGATCCTCAACGAACTGGAGCACAAGAGTGGTCACTTCTCAAGAGCCGATGAACCAATTTCATATGCGCAACAGCTCCCATGGTTGCAGAATAAGAGTATCAGAGATAACATTACCTTCCATGAAACGTTCGATAGTGCGAGATATCGGGATGTTGTTAGTGCTTGCGCACTGATTCCTGATTTCGCAACGTTTCCTATGGGTGATCAAACGAAGCTTGAGGAGGGTGGTATTGGCCTTTCCGGCGGTCAAAAGGCGCGTGTGGCCCTGGCGAGGGCAGTTTATAGCAGCTGTCGGATTCTCCTTTTGGATGACCCTCTCGCAGCTCTGGATCACGACACAGCGAGTTATATTGTTCAGCGCTTCCTTTGTGGACCACTGGCCAAGGCCAGAACAATTGTTCTCGTCACGCATCGCGATGATCTCGTTCTTCGACATGCCGATCAGGTTATTGATATCAACGATGGTTACGCCCATGTTCTCACTCCAGCGGAACTCAAAGAAGAGCTCGAACATCCACATCTTTTCAACTCTGGTGCTGCTGAAGTTCAACCTCACGAAATGCCTAATGAGCATGTATCTGAAGAACCTCCAAGCGACAAGGGTCTTCCTGAAGAAGTTACCGAAACAGGGGCTATTCCTATTGGTATCTATCTCAGGTACATGGGTGCAGGAGGATGGCACCTATGGGTATTTCTATCTTTGTTCTATGGACTATCGCGATACTGCGACATTGCGCGAGCACGACTTCTCGAAGCATGGGGCCACGAATCTGCAAACTTCGAGACCCTAATCGAAAGCGAATATTGGGGTCTTCCCAATCCTAACCAGAACCCCCGGCCCTGGCTCTATGTTCTAGCAGGTCTATCAATCGCCCAAATCGTCTCGTACGCCTCAGCCCAAGTCCTCCTCGCTTCAATCAGCATCCGCGCAGCTCAACGACTCTTCAGAATCGCCATCGACAGAGTTAGCAAGGCGTCGTTCCGCTACCACGATATCACACCGACAGGCCAGCTCAAGAACCGTCTCATCTCCGACATGGGCATGGTCGATGGCGGAATTCTTGCACCCCTCGAGCAATTTGTGTTTAACCTGGTCGCTCTCTCGTTGAGTCTCTTCGCTATCATGACGCACCAGATCTTTCTTGTAGGGGTTATCTTTGTTGTCGCCATTCTGTTCGCATACTTCTATCGTATATACGTCCCCGCTTCGCGCTGTCTACGCAGAATGGAGATGCGATATCTGACTCCCATCATCGCCAACATTGGAGTTATGCAGGATGGTCTTGTAACAATTCGTGCTCTCAAGGTTGAGAGCCGCTTTCAAAAGAAGCACTTGGAAGCTGTTGATGACTTCCAAAAGCACGATCATTTCTTCTGGAGTATGACGTTCTGGCTCGACTTTAGACTCGGTATGTCTTCGGCCATCATGCGAACTATCCTCGTTCTCTCCATGGTATACATGGGCACACCAGCTAGTGCAGTCGGTTTTGTTCTGACTCAAACCAACATCGCCATGATCGCCGTTCAGCAACTATGTGAGAAGTTTGCGGCTCTTCAGCTCGATGCCGTGTCGCTCGAGAGAGTCGATGCCCTGAACCGTATCCCGGAAGAACCCAGCGGTGATATTGAGCCTCCCCAAGACTGGCCCAGGCCATGCGATAGCGTACGCTTCCAGGATATGTCATTCAAGTACGCCGATGACCTCCCCGCGGTTCTGGACAACGTATCATTCGAGATTCCTGGGGGTTCAACATGCGCAGTTCTCGGTCGAACAGGCTCCGGAAAGTCAACCATCGCAAACGCTCTCCTCGTAACACAAGCGCCGTACTCAGGCGCTGTCTCAATCGGGAGCATTGATCTCGCTTACATCAACCGTACAGCCCTCCGCAATCGCGTAACGTTCATCCAACAAGATCCAATCCTCTTTCCGGGCACACTACACGACAACATCGACCCCGAAGCCAAGTTCTCCGGCCAAGAGTGCACAAATGCAATCCATCGCGTTCTCGGTACTGACTGGGGTCTCGAAACCCGCATTGACGCAGGTGGAAAGAATCTCAGTCAGGGGCAGAGACAGCTGGTGGGTATATGTCGAGCTGTGCTGCGTCGAAGTGGCCTTGTCATTCTTGATGAGGCGACGGCGTCGATTGATCGTGGGACAGCGGCGATGGTGCAGAGGATCCTTAGACAAGAACTCAGAGAGAGCACTGTC